GAGGGGAAAAATTGGGATTTGGCCCTGGGAAAAGGGATCAGCCTCATCCCAACGTGCTCCTGATCCCTTAATTTCCTCGGGAATAAACCAGGAATGACCATTTCTGGTAGGAAAAGCAAAATTCCCCTCAGAAATTTGGCTCCTGACCCACTCCTGAGGGGAAAAATCGGGATTCGGCCTCAAGGAAGAGGCTCAGCCTCCTCCAAAGTGCTCCTGATCCCAAATTCCTTTGGAAAAACACATCCATAAAACAGGAATAACCATTTTGATAAACCAGAAATGACCATTTTTGTTGGGAAAAGCAAAATTCCCCTCACAAATGTGGCTCCTGACCCACTCCTGAGGGGAAAAATCGGGATTCAGGCCCAGGAAAAGGCCTCAGCCTCATCCCAACGTGCTCCTGATCCCTCAATTTCCTCGGGAATAAACCAGGAAGAACCATTTTTATGGGGATAAGCAAAATTCCCCTCAGAAATGTGGCTCCTGACACATTCCTGAGGGGAAAAATTGGGATTCAGGCCCAGGAAAAGGCCTCAGCCTCATCCCAAGGTGCTCCTGATCCCTCAATTTCCTTGGGAATAAACCAGGAATGACCATTTCTGGTGGGAAAAGCAAAATTCCCCTCACAAATGTGGCTCCTGACCCATTCCTGAGGGGAAAAATCGGGATTCAGGCCCAGGAAAAGGCCTCAGCCTCATCCCAAGGTGCTCCTGATCCCTCAATTTCTTTGGGAATAAACCAGGAAGAACCATTTTTATGGGGATAAGCAAATTTCCCCTCAGAAATTTGGCTCCTGACCCATTCCTGAGGGGAAAAATCGGGATTCAGGCCCTGGGAAAAGGGATCAGCCTCATCCCAAGGTGCTCCTGATCCCTCAATTTCCTTTTAATAAACCAGGAATGACCATTTCTGGTGGGAAAAGAAAATTTCCCCTCACAAATGTGGCTCCTGCCCCACTCCTGAGGGGAAAAATCGGGATTCGGCCTCAAGGAAGAGGCTCAGCCTCCTCCAAAGTGCTCCTGATCCCAAATTCCTTTGGAAAAAGGCATCCATAAACCAGGAATAACCATTTTGATAAACCAGGAATGACCATTTTTGTTGGGAAATCCAAATTTCCCCTCAGAAATGTGGCTCCTGACCCACTCCTGAGGGGAAAAATTGGGATTTGGCCCTGGGAAAAGGGATCAGACTCATCCCAAGCTGCTCCTGATCCCGCAGTTTCTTTGGGAATAAACCAGGAATGACCATTTCTGGTGGGAAAAGAAAATTCCCCTCAGAAATTTGGGTTCTGCCCCATTCCTAAGGGGAAAAATCAGGATTTAGCCCTGGGAAAAGGCCTCAGCCTCATCCCAATGTGCTCCTGATCCCTCAATTTCCTTGGGAATAAAGCAGGAATGACAATTTTTGGCGGGAAAAGCAAAATTCCCCTCAGAAATTTGGATTCTGCCCCATTCCTGAGGGGAAAAATCGGGATTTAGCCCTCTCCAAGGTGCTCCTGATCCCTCAATTTCCTTGGGAATAAACCAGGAATGACCATTTCTGGTGGGAAAAGCAAAATTCCCCTCAGAAATGTGGCTCCTGCCTCACTCCTGAGGGGAAAAATTGGGATTTAGCCACAAGGAACAGGCTCAGTCTCCTCCAAAGTGCTCCTTATCCCAAATTCCTTTGGAAAAACACATCCATAAAACAGGAATAACCATTTTGATAAATCAGAAATGACCATTTTTGTTGGGAAATCCAAATTTCCCATCAGAAATGTGGCTCCTGCCTCACCCTGAGGGGAAAAATCGGGATTCGGCCTCAAGGAAGAGGCTCAGCCTTCTCCAAAGTGCTTCTGATCCCAAATTCCTTTGGAAAAAGGCACACATAAACCAGGAATAACATTTTGATAAAGTGGTAACAACAATTTTTGGCGGGAAAACCAAATTTCCCCTCAGAAATGTGGCTCCTGCCTCACCGTGAGGGGAAAAAATAGGATTTGGCCTCAAGGAAGAGGCTCAGCCTCATCCCAAGGTGCCCCTATTCCCCAATTTCTTTGGGAAAACCTTTGGGAAAAGGCCTCCATAAACCAGGACCGAGCACTGTGGATGTTTTGTGGGATTTGAGGGGGTTTTGGGGTGATTTGGGTGACATTTTGAAGGAATTGGCCTGCGAAGGAGGCCCTGGGAAAGCAGAAGCGGCGACGACAGCGTCGCTTCCCTCAGACTTCGCGAGGAGGATTCCAGCCCCCGTTTCCCACCCAAAACCGGATCCCAGCAATCCCACAAATCCCACAGAGCTTCCCTTACCCGGATCAGATCCTCTTTCTCCGTCTCGTGGAGCTGGTAGAGGAACTTGGAGAGCTCGGGGTCCGCCTCCATCTTCCCCATGATCCTCTCCTTCTCCGCCTCGCTCTGCGCGCTGGCCAGCAAGGTGCAGTACAGGACTAGAAAGGGGAAAAAAAAAACGGGAAAAACATGGAAAAACGGATCCAAACCTGTCGGAATTCCACTGGAAAAGGGGGGGAAAAAAAACTCACTCATCATCCGGTGCTGCCGCAGGACTTTGATGAAGTCGAAGGTGTTGAAGCCCAGCAGCAGAACCAGTTGGTTTTCGCATTCTCGGTCGTCGCTGGCGGTCTGGGGAGGGAAAAATGTGGAATTTTTCACGCCTGGATCCCTCTTTTCTGTGGGATGGGGGAGAGGGGAGGTGGGGAAGTGTGGGAAGGGAGAGGAAAACAAGCATGGAAGGTGGAAAACAATCCTGGAGGCTGGAAAAACAATCCTGAAAATTCACATTTTTCGCTCAAAACTCGGGAATTAGGGTGGGAACACCACATGGAGGTGGATCCTGAGGGAAAACAATCCAAAAAATTCAAATTTTTCACCAAAAACTCGGGAATCAGGAGGGGAATACTCCATGGAGGTGGATCCTGAGGGAAAACAATCCTGAAAATTCAAATTTTTCACTCAAAACTCGGGAATTAGGGTGGGAACACCACATGGAGGCGGCTCCTGAGGGAAAACAATCCCAAAAATTCACATTTTTCACCAAAAACTTGGGAATCAGGGTGGGAATACCCCATGGAGGTGGCCCCTGAGGGAAAACAATCCCAAATATTCACATTTTTCGCTCAAAACTTGGGAATTAGGGTGGGAACATCCCAGGGAGGCGTCTCCTGAGGGAAAACAATCCCAAAAATTCAGATTTTTCGCTCCAAACTTGGGAATCAGGGTGGGATCACCCCATGGAGACGGCTCCTGAGGGAAAACAATCCTGAAAATTCAAATATTTCACTCAAATCTCGGGAATTAGGGTGGGAATACCACATGGAGGTGGATCCTGAGGGAAAAACAATCCCAAAAATTCACGTTTTTCATCCAAAACTTGAGAATTAGGAGGGGAACAGACCCCAGGGGTGACGATTTCCCAGGAAAAACCCCTGGGAACTCAGGGATCGACACCGCCACCAAACCCAAACCCAAATCAGGGACAAAAATTCCCAGGGAACGCCACAAACCACCCGGAATTCCAGCCCAATTCCCACTTTTTGCAGGGAGAACTCATCCCAGATCCCGAGGATCCGGAGGCCACGCACCTTGAGGATCTCCAGGACCTCATCCGCCTTTTTCTGGGAGACGATGGCGTCGTCGTAGAAGCGGCTGAGCTGACGCTGCAGCCAGAAGGCGTCGATGTCCCGCGGGTGCAGGTCCTTCTTCTTGGAGCTCATCAGCTCCCCTGCTGCCACCAGCTGGAAAATCCCAAAAATTCCCAACATTCCCATGATTTGGGATGGTTTAAAGCCATGAAATCCCAAAAATTCCCATTAAATTCCCATTAAAATCCCATTATTCCCAGGGTTTTGATGTCCTATGGATGGAGGTTCTTCTTCTTGGAGCTCATCAGCTCCCCTGCTGCCACCAGCTGGAAAATTCCCAACAATTCCCATCATTCCCATGATTTGGGATGGTTTAAAGCCATGAAATCCCAAAAATTCCCATTCAAATCCCAAAAATTCCCATTAAATTCCCATTAAAATCCCATAAAAATCCCATAAAAATCCCATTTTTCCCCTGTGTTTGGAGCAGAACAGGATCTTGGAAAATTCCCAAAATTCCCATAAAAATCCCATAAAAATCCCATAAAAATCCCATAAAAATCCCATAAAAATCCCATTAAATTCCCATAAAAATCCCATAAAAATCCCATTAAATTCCCATAAAAATCCCATAAAAATCCCATTAAATTCCCATAAAAATCCCATAAAATTCCCATAAAATTCCCATAAAAATCCCATAAAAATCCCATAAAAATCCCATTAAATTCCCATAAAAATCCCATTTTTCCCTTAATTTTGCTCTTTAGAGCCAGGATTTTGTGGCAACACAGGAAAATTTCATGACAAAACGTGGGAAAACCCCCCAAATTCCCAGAAATCGGCCCAGAATTCCCAAAATTCCCTGGAAAAATCCCAAACTGACGTTGGCAGAGAGCGTGCAGCGAACCACGGCCTCGTCCCCTTCCAGGTCATCGTCCGAAGCCTCGTCCCGAACTTCTCCGTAAATGTCCTCGTCCCCCTCCTGGAAAAACATTTCCAATGGGATATTCCAAAAATCCCATTTTTATCCCTCTTTTCCCACCCCAAAATCCCTTTTTTCCCTCAAAAATCCCATTTTTATCCCTTTTTTTCCCCAAAAAATCCCTTTTTTCTGTCAAAAATCCCATTTTTATCCCTTTTCCCACCCCAAAATCCCTTTTTTCCCTCAAAAATCCCATTTTTATTCCTCTTTTCCCCCCTCAAAATCCCTTTTTTCCATCAAAAATCCCATTTTTATCCCTCTTTTCCCTCAAAAATCCATTTTTGATCCCTTTTTGACCCCTTTTTTCCCTCAAAAATCCCATTTTTATCCCTGTTTTCCCACCCCAAAATCTCTTTTTTCCCTCAAAAATCCCATTTTTATCCCTCTTTTCCCACCCATAAAATGGGATAAAAGGAAAAACGGGATAAAAAACCGGGATAAAAGGAAAAATGGGATAAAAAAAATGGGATAAAATAAAATGGGATAAAATAAAATGGGATTAAAAAATGGGATAAAATAGAATGGGATAAAATAAAATGGGATAAAAAAATGGGATAAAAGAAAATGGGATAAAAAAAATGGGATAAAATAAAATGGGATAAAAAAAATGGGATAAAAGAAAATGGGATAAAAAAAATGGGATAAAAAAATGGGATAAAATAGAATGGGATAAAATGGAAAAATGGGATAAAAAAATGGGATAAAATAGAATGGGATAAAATGGAAAAATGGGATAAAAAAATGGGATAAAGAAAATGGGATAAAATAAAATGGGATAAAAAAATGGGATAAAAGGGAAAAATGGGATAAAAAAATGGGATAAAATAAAATGGGATAAAATAAAATGAAATAAACGAAAATGGGATAAAGAAAATGGGATAAAGAAAATGGGATAAAAAAAAATGGGATAAACAAAAATGGGATAAAAGGGAAAAATGAGATTAAAAAATGGGATAAAAGGGAAAAATGGGATAAAAAAATGGGATAAAAAGGAAAAATGGGATTAAAAAATGGGATAAAAAAATGGGATAAAATAAAATGGGATAAAATAAAATGGGATTAAATAAAATGGGATAAAAAAATGGTATTAAAAAATGGGATAAAAGAAAATGGGATAAAAAAATGGGATAAAATAGAATGGGATAAAAGGGAAAATGGGATTAAAAAATGGGATAAAATAAATGGGATAAAAGAAGGAAGAGGCGTTTTCCCGGGAAAAGCGGGAGCGCGGATCCGGCCCCACCTCCTCGTCAGACTCGAACTGAATGTTCACCCCGTACGTCTCAAAAAATGGGATAAAAAATGGGATTAAAAATGGGATAAAAGGGAAAATGGGATTAAAAAATGGGATAAAAAATGGAATTAAAAAATGGGATAAAAAATGGAATTAAAAAATGGGATAAAAAATGGGATTAAAAAATGGGATAAAAGGGAAAATGGGATTAAAAAATGGGATAAAATAAAATGGGATAAAAGGGAAAAATGGGATAAAAAAATGGGATTAAAAAATGGGATAAAAGGGAAAAATGGGATTAAAAAATGGGATTAAAAAATGGGATAAAAGGGAAAATGGGATTAAAAAATGGGATTAAAAAATGGGATAGAGGGAAAATGGGATTAAAAAATTGAATAAAAGGGAAAAATGGGATAAAAAAATGGGATTAAAAAATGGGATAAAAAAATGGGATAAAATAAAATGGGATTAAAAAATGGGATAAAAAATGGGATAAAATGGAAAAATGGGATAAAAAATGGGATTAAAAAATGGGATAAAAGGGAAAAATGGGATAAAAAATTGGATTCAAAAATGGGATAAAATAAAATGGGATAAAATAAAATGAGATAAACGAAAATGGGATAAAAAAATGGGATAAAGAAAATGGGATAAAGAAAATGGGATAAACAAAAATGGGATAAAAGGGAAAAATGAGATTAAAAAATGGGATAAAAGGGAAAAATGGGATAAAAAAATGGGATAAAAAAATGGGATAAAATAAAATGGGATAAAATAAAATGGGATAAAATAAAATGGGATAAAATAAAATGGGATAAAAAAATGGGATAAAAGGGAAAAATGGGATAAAAAATGGGATAAAATAAATGGGATAAAAGAAGGAAGAGGCGTTTTCCCGGGAAAAGCGGGAGCGCGGATCCGGCCCCACCTCCTCGTCAGACTCGAACTGAACGTTCACCCCGTACGTCTCGTCGATGTTGTCATCTGCAGGGAACAGCGAGCGCCATCAGCCGGGATCCCAGGGGATTCCAGGGGATCCCGGGGGATTCCAGGGGATTCCGGGGGATTCCAGGGGATTCCGGGGGATCCCAGGGGATCCCAGGGGATTCATTGGGATCCAGCACTGAATTCCAGGGGATCCCAGGGGATTCCGGGGGATTCCAGGGGATTCCAGGGGATCCCAGGGGATCCCAGGAGATTCCAGGGAATTCATCAGGATCCGGCACCGAATTCCAGGGGATCCCAGGGGATTCATTGGGATATGGAACCAAATTCCAGGGGATTCCAGGGGATCCCAGGGGATTCCAGGGGATTCCAGGGGATTCATCGGGATCCGGGGTGGAATTCCAGGGGATTCCAGGGGATCCCAGGGGATTCCTGGGGATTCCAGGGGATCCCAGGGGATTCCAGGGGATTCCGGGGGATTCATCGGGATCCGGGGTGGAATTCCAGGGGATCCCAGGGAGTTCCAGGGGATTCCAGGGGATCCCAGGGGATCCCAGGGGATTCCAGGGGATTCCAGGGGATCCCAGGGGATTCCGGGGAATTCATCGGGATCCGGCACCGAATTCCAGGGAATTCATCGGGATCCGGTGTGGAATTCCATGGAACTCATCGGGAATTCCCGGGATTCGGCACGGAACTCACCGGGAATTCCATGGAATGCAAAATCACCAAAAAAATTGAAAAAAATTGAAAAAAAAATCTAAAAAAATTCCCAAAAAAATTCCCCAAAAATTCCCAGAATTCCCTACCCATGTTCTGGATGTTTAAACTTTTCAAAAATATAAAAAGACCTGAAAAAATCCCTCAAAAAATGAGAAAAATATCGCAAAAAATCGCCAAAAAATTGCAAAAAATAGCTCAAAAAATCCGAAAAAAATCCAAAAAAAATCGAAAAAATTCCCCAAAAATTCCCAAAAATTCCCAGAATTCCCTACCCATGTTCTGGATGTCCTTGTCCCCGCCGTAGTCGGTGATTTTCTTGCCCAGGTTGACCAGCACGTGGTAGCGCGTGTCGTCAGCCGGGCCCAGCACAACTCAATACCCAAAAATCCCTAAAAATCCCCAAAAATTCCCAAAAAAATCCCCAAAAATTCCCCTAAAAAAATCCCAAATAAAATAAAAATCAATTTAGAATGGAAAAACATTTTAGAAACATAAAAAGACCTGAAAAAAATCCCTCAAAAAATGAGAAAAATATCGCAAAAAATCGCAAAAAATAGCTAAAAAAATTGGAAAAAAATCCAAAAAAAATCGAAAAAATTCCCCAAAAAATTCCCAGAATTCCCTACCTATGTTCTGGATGTTTAAACTTTTTAAAAACATAAAAAGACCTTAAAAAACAACCCTTCAAAAAATGAAAAAAACCCCCCCAAAATTGTGAAAAAATCGCCAAAAAATCAGCTAAAAATCCGAAAAAAATCCAAAAAAACCCCAAAAAATTCCAAAAAAATTCCCAAAAAATTCCCAGAATTCCCAGAATTCCCTACCCATGTTCTGGATGTCCTTGTCCCCGCCGTAGTCGGTGATTTTCTTGCCCAGGTTGACCAGCACGTGGTAGCGCGTGTCGTCGGCCGGGCCCAGCACAACTCAATACCCAAAAATCCCTAAAAATCCCCAAAAATTCCCAAAAAAATCCCCAAAAATTCCCCCAAAAAAATCCCAAATAAAATAAAAATCAATTTAGAATGGAAAAACATTTTAGAAACATAAAAAGACCTGAAAAAAATCCCTCAAAAAATGAGAAAAATATCGCAAAAAATCGCAAAAAATAGCTAAAAAAATTGGAAAAAAATCCAAAAAAAATCGAAAAAATTCCCCAAAAAATTCCCAGAATTCCCTACCTATGTTCTGGATGTTTAAACTTTTTAAAAACATAAAAAGACCTTAAAAAACAACCCTTCAAAAAACTATGTTCTGGATGTTTAAACTTTTTAAAAACATAAAAAGACCTTAAAAAACAACCCTTCAAAAAATGAAAAAAACCCCCCCAAAATTGTGAAAAAATCACCAAAAAAATCACCGAAAAATCAGAAAAAAATCTAAAAAAAATCGAAAAAATTCCCAAAAAATTCCCAAAAAATTCCCAGAATTCCCAGAATTCCCTACCCATGTTCTGGATGTCCTTGTCCCCGCCGTAGTCGGTGATTTTCTTGCCCAGGTTGACCAGCACGTGGTAGCGCGTGTCGTCCTTGTCCCCGCCGTAGTCGGTGATTTTCTTGCCCAGGTTGACCAGCACGTGGTAGCGCGTGTCGTCGGCCGGGCCCAGCAGCAGCTCCACCTCCTTGCGCCGCTCCTTGTCCCGCAGCTTCTCGTTCTTCAGCACGGCCAGAACCTCGTCAGCCGCCCCGCAGAGGATATCCCGGGGCTGGAAACACGGGAAAAATGGGAATTCTGGGAGTTCCCAACCCCCACAGGATATCCCGGGGCTGGAAAAACGGGAAAAACGGGGAATTCTGGGAATTCTGGGAGTTCTGGGAATTCTGGGAGTTCCCACCCTGCACAGGATATCCCGAGGCTGGAAAAATGGGAAAAATGGGAATTCTGGGAATTCTGGGAGTTCCCAACCCCCACAGGATATCCCGGGGCTGGAAACACGGGAAAAATGGGAATTCTGGGAATTCTGGGAATTCTGGGATACCCGTGATATATCCCAGGATAATGCACAGAGAGTTCCCATCCCCCACAGGATATCCCGGGGCTGGAAAAATGGGAAAAATGGGAAAAATGGGAATTCTGGGAGTTCCCACCCCGCACAGGATATCCCGGGGCTGGAAAAATGGGAAAAATGGGAATTCTGGGAGTTCCCAACCCCCACAGGATATCCCGGGGCTGGAAACACGGGAAAAATGGGAATTCTGGGAGTTCCCAACCCCCACAGGATATCCCGGGGCTGGAAAAACGGGAAAAATGGGAATTCTGGGAATTCTGGGAGTTCCCAACCCCCACAGGATATCCCGGGGCTGGAAACACGGGAAAAATGGGAATTCTGGGAATTCTGGGAGCTCCCAACCCCCACAGGATATCCCGGGGCTGGAAACACGGGAAAAATGGGAAAAATGGGAATTCTGGGAATTCCCAACCCCCACAGGATATCCCGGGGCTGGAAAAATGGGAATTCTGGGAGTTCTGGGAGTTCCCATCCTGCACAGGATATCCCGGGGCTGGAAACACGGGAAAAATGGGAATTCTGGGAGTTCCCAACCCCCACAGGATATCCCGGGGCTGGAAAAACGGGAAAAACGGGAATTCTGGGAGTTCTGGGAGTTCTGGGAATTCTGGGATACCCGTGATATATCCCAGGATAACGCACGGGGAGTTCCCAACCCCCACAGGATATCCCGGGGCTGGAAAATGGGAATTCTGGGAATTCTGGGAATTCTGGGAATTCTGGGAGTTCCCACCCTGCACAGGATATCCCGGGGCTGGAAACACGGGAAAAATGGGAATTCTGGGAGTTCCCAACCCCGCAGAGGATATCCCGGGGCTGGAAACACGGGAAAAATGGGAATTCTGGGAATTCTGGGAGTTCCCAACCCCCACAGGATATCCCGGGGCTGGAAAAATGGGAATTCTGGGAATTCTGGGAATTCTGGGAGTTCTGGGAATTCTGGGATACCCGTGATATATCCCAGGATAACGCACAGGGAGTTCCCAACCCCCACAGGATATCCCGGGGCTGGAAAAATGGGAATTCTGGGAATTCTGGGAGTTCCCAACCCCCACAGGATATCCCGGGGCTGGAAACACGGGAATAACGGGAAAAATGGGAATTCTGGGAGTTCCCAACCCTCACAGGATATCCCAGGGCTGGAAAAATGGGAATTCTGGGAAAAATGGGAATTCTGGGAGTTCCCAACCCCCACAGGATATCCCGGGGCTGGAAAAACGGGAATAACGGGAAAAATGGGAATTCTGGGAATTCTGGGAATTCCCACCCTGCACAGGATATCCCGGGGCTGGAAAAACGGGAATAAAGGGAATTCTGGGAGTTCCCATCCTGCACAGGATATCCCAGGGCTGGAAAAATGGGAATTCTGGGAATTCTGGGAATTCTGGGATACCCGTGATATATCCCGGGATAACGCACAGGGAGTTCCCAACCCCCACAGGATATCCCGGGGCTGGAAACACGGGAAAAATGGGAATTCTGGGAATTCTGGGAGCTCCCAACCCCCACAGGATATCCCGGGGCTGGAAAAACGGGAAAAATGGGAATTCTGGGAGTTCTGGGAATTCTGGGATACCCGTGATATATCCCAGGATAACGCACGGGGAGTTCCCAACCCCCACAGGATATCCCGGGGCTGGAAACACGGGAAAAATGGGAATTCTGGGAATTCTGGGAGTTCCCATCCTGCACAGGATATCCCGGGGCTGGAAAAACGGGAAAAATGGGAATTCTGGGAGTTCCCAACCCCCACAGGATATCCCGGGGCTGGAAACACGGGAATAACGGGAAAAATGGGAATTCTGGGAATTCTGGGAATTCCCACCCTGCACAGGATATCCCGGGGCTGGAAAAACGGGAATAAAGGGAATTCTGGGAGTTCCCATCCTGCACAGGATATCCCAGGGCTGGAAAAATGGGAATTCTGGGAATTCTGGGAATTCTGGGATACCCGTGATATATCCCGGGATAACGCACAGGGAGTTCCCAACCCCCACAGGATATCCCGGGGCTGGAAACACGGGAAAAATGGGAATTCTGGGAATTCTGGGAGCTCCCAACCCCCACAGGATATCCCGGGGCTGGAAAAACGGGAAAAATGGGAATTCTGGGAGTTCTGGGAATTCTGGGATACCCGTGATATATCCCAGGATAACGCACGGGGAGTTCCCAACCCCCACAGGATATCCCGGGGCTGGAAACACGGGAAAAATGGGAATTCTGGGAATTCTGGGAGTTCCCATCCTGCACAGGATATCCCGGGGCTGGAAAAACGGGAAAAATGGGAATTCTGGGAGTTCCCAACCCCCACAGGATATCCCGGGGCTGGAAACACGGGAATAACGGGAAAAATGGGAAAAATGGGAATTCTGGGAGTTCCCAACCCCCACAGGATATCCCGGGGCTGGAAAAATGGGAAAAACGGGAAAAATGGGAATTCTGGGAGTTCCCATCCTGCACAGGATATCCTGGGGCTGGAAACACGGGAAAAATGGGAATTCTGGGAATTCTGGGAATTCTGGGAGTTCCCAACCCCCACAGGATATCCCAGGGCTGGAAACACGGGAAAAATGGGAATTCTGGGAGTTCCCAACCCCCACAGGATATCCCGGGGCTGGAAAAACGGGAAAAATGGGAATTCTGGGAATTCTGGGAGTTCCCAACCCCCACAGGATATCCCGGGGCTGGAAAATGGGAATTCTGGGAGTTCTGGGAGTTCCCATCCCCCACAGGATATCCCGGGGCGGGAAAAACGGGAAAAATGGGAATTCTGGGAGTTCCCAACCCCCACAGGATATCCCAGGGCTGGAATCCCTGGAAGTGCCCAAGGCCAGGCTGGAGATGGCACTGGATGGGATTTAAGATCCATTCCAAATCCAAACCAATCCAGAATTCCATGTGCTGCTTTAATGGGAATTTTGGGAAGGAATTCCTGGCCAGGAGAGTGGAGAATTCCCAGAAAAGCTGCTCCTGGATCCCTGGAATCCCTGGAAGTGCCCAAGGCCAGGCTGGAGATTTCACTGGATGGGATTTAAGGTTCCTTCCAATCCAAACCAATCCAGAATTCCACGTGCTGCTTTAATGGGAATTTTGGGAAGGAATTCCCAACCAGGAAAGTGCCAAATTCCCAAAAAACCCGCAGCTATCCCAGAATCCCTGGAAGTGCCCAAGGCCAGCCTGGAGATTTCACTGGATGGGATTTAAGATCCATTCCAAATCCAAACCAATCCAGAATTCCACGTGCTGCTTTAATGGGAATTTTGGGAAGGAATTCCCATTAAATTCCCATTAAATTTAATAGAATTTAATTAAATTCCATTTAATTAAACGGAATTTAATTAATTAATTTCTCCTGGAATCAGTAGAGTGAGAAATTCCCAAAAAAACCCGCAGCTATCCCAGAATCCCTAAAACCCAAAACCAAACCCCCACAACAGCCCCATCCCAACGGGAGGCAAGGCTGGAATCCCCCATCCCAGAGCGGAATTCCCGCATTCCGGAGCCGATTCCGGACTCACCTGATCCCCCAGGGCCGCCTGGATGAAGCTGAGCAGAACCTCGTAGGTTTCCCGAGTTTCCTTGGTCTTGGGTTTGTAGATGATCCCGACCATCTCGTCGATACCCTCGGACAGAAGGGTGTAACCTTTCATCTTGTTGATGTCGTGCCTGTCCTCGTCCCGCTTCCTCCTCCTGGGGAAAAACGGGAAAATCGGGAATTAATGGGATCAAATCTGTTGATCCCGCGAGGTAAGGAGGGAATTTGGGGGTTTGCAACCCGGAATATTCCTGGAGGGATTGAGTTGGAGAAGGGAAAGCTCTGAGGAGATGGTGGAGTCTTTTTACAGAGGGTCCCAAAAAATCCCAGAGGGTCCCAAAAAATTCCAGAGGGTCCCAAAAAATCCCAGAGGTTCCCAAAAAATCCCAGAGGGTCCCAAAAAATCCCAGAGCTCCAGAGGGTCCCAAAAAATCCCAGAGGGTCCCAAAAAATCCCAGACTTCCAGAGGGTC